TATATATATATATATATGTGTGTGTGTGATTATATATATGTGATCTTTATGAAAACTTTTTTGTACTGTTATAGTACAGGTAGAATGTATACGGATAAATTTGCTTACGGCGCCAAAGCTGCTGAATGAAAGATCGATCACTTTACCCGCCGTGAGCTTCGTAGGATATCTAGCCATGGCGATTACTAGGATAAGATAACGAGCTTCTTTACTAGGCAAGCAATACCAATCGATCGTGCAGCAAGTTGTGTTTACTTCACTCCCCTATTATACAAAGTGCAACAAGTGCATGTATAGTATTGGTATTTATTTGTAAAAATTTTATAATCTCTTTATTAAATATGTTCATAAGTATATTAGTCATTTAAGTATATTAAATATTACTCTCCAGTTTATGATATTTTATTTTTATATACTCTTCCACTTAATAATAATTTATATACCTGCACATTTCTATTATCAACGTACCTTACCTGACTACTTAAAAGTTCCCCAATGTAACATAATATAAAAATATTAAAGGTAAAAGATACAAGCATTATGCCATATGTCATAGAAGATAGTGTATCATTTGATTCCCATCCCTAAAAAATTAATTGTGTTAATATATTATTTGAAAACAACGCGTAAAAAATTTTTGCATATATACTCAAAATAAATATAAAATATCAATAAATGTAAATGCAATTGCTGTTGCATACCGTTATCACATAATATCCAAGGAGACACAGTATTAAAGTACTTCCAATAATTTCGATAAAACACATTTCTCCTACAACGTCTTGTATTTGATGTAAAAATCTAGAATTCGAGAAAGAGAGAGAGAGAGAGAGAGAGAGAGAGAGAGAGAGAGAGAGAGAGATTACTCAAATATATATTATAGTAACGTTCCATTCTATGTTAAAGACTTTTAAAATTAATGTATAAGTAAAATTAACTGTATAAGTTTAAACAATAATTCAAACAATAAATTTAGATAAATTCTTTCTAAATTTATTCAACAAAGAGACAATTGATCCCAACAAGCACTAGAAACAAAATTGATAGTATTTCAATGTAAAATTTTTACATTTCGAGATAAATTTTAATTTAATTTAATTTAAATTGTAAATGAAATATAAACTTAACAGAAAATGAATAATAATTGCAGTTACTTACTTACGTATTCTTACGTGATGCATGACAATCACCGCCAATCTTTGAGCAATAACGCACTTCGACCATTGGTTTTCGATCGCTGTATTTTCCAACCAAACGGTCAACATTTTGAGTTGTCCACAAGCATGCATGGTGAATAATGCGGTGATCCCGCAGACGCTAGTTGTTACGATATATATAACGATGCCAGTCACTAAATGCATTGAAAATACGATTTCGTAAGCAGGACTCTGTTGCGGATCGAAGAAAATGAAGTAATTGCCCTGCACTAGCGGTCTGATCGACACGTTTCCAATTACGATCGTGCCGCGAAGTATTGGTTTAATCAGACGATGAGTGAAACCGCTGGTGAATAGGAATAACAAAGTGCAGATGATGACAAAACGTCCGGCTCTGGCTTGGTCCAACATAATTTTACGATCGTTCGTGTCCCATACATTCCGCCAGTCTTCCTGCAAATGCCTTATACATTTTTTAATACGATTCTCCTGTAACATCAGTGTAAAGTACATGGCAGGAACCATGCTGTAGAAGAAGAATCCTCCAATCATCCTTAGTCGGTTCTTAAATGTGTCCAAAATCAAAAACATGTATAGCACCCATGGTATCAGATTAAAGGACAATAGGAAGCAGCACGCAGTTCTGAGGAGTCCTCTGAGAAGTCTCGCCCATTTTCCGGATTTCTCCATATTCGGCCACACACCGATCAGTCCCATGATAAGTCTGTGCACTTGCACGGTGTATCTAATGTCATCTTCATAGTTGAAATTTCGTAAATTCATCCGTTCGGTCATTGCATGCATAAGCCGGAGGAAAGCGATTATTCTTTCCACTTGTTTACGAAGCGAACGTACGATCGCAACTGACACATGAAAGTACAATGAAACGTACTGTTTTGTATTATGCATATTCTCGCGTCTGCGTGGATCATCTCCGTCACCGTAGTTTCTGTCACAGCGCAGTATAAAGTTTGAAACAAACGTCGCGTGTGCGCAATTTTTTTTCGATAGAAGATAATTATGAAATCAGATCGATTCATACGAAGCGGCCTTCAACAAAAGTACAAATGTCTATCTTGTATCAAGTTATAAGTTGTAGATCGTCAGTTATATTAAACCAACAAAATCACGTGAAATGTTGATTAACAAGTAGATGGTTAGGGACTAAAAGTTTAAACATAACTGGATATGTATATATGTATGTGTTCATAGATATTTTTTTTTTCTTTGATAAGAGCGACGATGTAGCACGCTTGTATACATTAAATGTGTGCGAATAATTACGGAGTTACACAAAAGAACGACGAATTTTTTATCTGTTACATTGTTGAATAAATGCAATATCGATTAGGAAAAAAAAATCGTCATACAATGCGTGACATTATAAAATTTGAATTCACGAATCAGAAAGGGTAATGTCGAGTGTCATTTGTCCTGCTGCGAATATACATAAAAAGACCGGTTTTGCTGAAGTATCTAAAAATTTGGCTAAATACAGATCTAAAAATAATTTTGTTGGATTATCAAAATAATTATATGGGACGCTCAAACTGATTGTTAGGATATTCTAACATTTTATAACATCGTGCAACATGTTTGAGATTTCAACATAATATTTTGATCGTCAAATAAAATTTTCTAGATTTATATCAAGCTAAACTTTTAATACGTCATCAAAATCTTTCCGTGTAGAATGTCATGTAATTAAAAATATAATACAGGTATGATTTATACACATACATTACTCTCATAGTAAAGTTAATATATTCACTAATACGAAAATTCATTTAATAAGTTACAGTTAAGCGTAACATAACAGTAATATGAATATAAAAATATATACACATATATAGATATTTTGTAGATATATAAAGATTATAAATATTCTGCTTCTAGCAGAGAAATATAAATGAAATATAAAAGAATTCAGAAAATTTATGTTAATTCATACTACTAATAATACTATTTATATTTAAAAGTCAATAGATTTCAAGCTTAATTTTTTATGAAATTTAATTCTTTATATTATAATATTCAATAATTTTTTTTTATTAATCCATTGTTGGTACGAAAGTTTATTTAATTACAAACGACAAGTGCGACATAACAATACTAAATTTCAATATTTCTGATTGCATTTGGTGTAATTTATATCGCGTAATGATACGTGCAGCATCAGAATATATTTTAAAGGATGATATGTACGAATGATTATCGATGAATCTCGATTTCTTTCAACAAATATATTTTAGTGTATTTGTTAATTTTTTAACTATTTATTAAAATTACATTCATTTTGTTTCTTCTTTTCAATAACTGATAACTAATTGGCATTTATTAATGACCATATTAATAATTTTTACACTCGAATAAATTTTATGTAGTTAATGTACGCAACATATTTAAGTAGGCGACTGATGTCTTAACCACCTATCAATTGGATGAAGAATGTGTGAATCATGATAGTTACAAGGATATGATATGTAATGACATTTACTCACGTCGCCAAAAGTACTGAGAGACAACTCAAAAAGATTTCCAGCGGTAAGTTTAATCGACGTATTGGACACAGCGATCATTAAGATGAGATCAAGACCTTTTCTTCCTGACAAACGATGCCAATCGATCATGTACGATTTCTCGCCAATCTTCTTACACTATTTACGGAATTATTTTTCTTATTTTTTAAAATATGAAACTATATGCGGTGAAAAATAATTTTTTCAAATAAATTGTATATTTTATAAATTTATTATTATAATTACAATTCTGTTCCTGTTATTGTAAAAATATATGGGCCATTTTTCTTGTAGTACCAACAAGTATCAATCTTTGTAAATTTCAGAGTTTGAGAAATACTTACTTATTACTTTTAATAAATGATCTAATGTACATATATTAGCTTGTAATTTCAATGTCTAATTTTTACAATCAGATGAAATTAAAGATTCTCTAATAAGAGCTATAAAATAACGTCAAGATTAGATTGACAATGACATTTTTCAATAAAAATGTATAACTGTTTAGTATACACAGTCATGTTATATTTAAAATGACTTGTACGTGTCGTGGTGTACACAGATGTTATTTGATGAAAAATGACACCGCAATCAAAATTTGGAACGTTATTTTATGATTTCGATTAGAGAATTTTTTGAATTTCACACTTAGTTTTCTACGTATCTATTGGCAATGTCTAATAATCTCAAACAGATGCAACGTATTCTTCATCTATCGATGTCAGGGTAGCCGTTATGTTCATAGGAAATATTTTCACGTTCGTATCGAAAAATATCGCACCTGTTAATAGTTCGATACGGAACACACCGTTTCTGCATATCTCTTTCAATCTTTTGTGACACTGGCCTAGTCGAGCATTCTTCTGTTACAGTCGAACAATAGGGATATGCTCGACTATAGTTGATTCTTATATTCTTATCTGATTTAAACCCTTGGTGGAAAAACTAGCTACTAACGTGCGTTGCTCTCTCGTGTAACCTGTATTTTGATAAAACTGTTCATGCGTGAACATTGGTTAGGGTAGTAAAACGCTGAATTATTTTTTCTGTTTGTACAAATTAGACACTGAAATTATGAGCTCATGTGTATATAAGATCATTTGGGCGCGTTTGATAGCGCACTGTCAGCGCTACTATGTCATTCTATCCTCATTATTTATTAGACATAAAATAAAGATAGAACGGCGCAACAGCGCGCACTTTTATTATAGGACAAAAACTGACAATGAGTATTTCTTAAATAGTTAACTTCAATGATTATTGTTGCCATTACGAGAAAATACCTATACCGTAAAAACGTACTTGTGAAGTTTGCAATAAATTTATCAACGGTGCAAAGGGATGCTCTTTAAATTAGGATTTTAGAACTTTACCTTTTCGGCAACAAGCTCACCAATGTAACATAATATAAAGATATTGAACGTAAGAGACGTATATAAAACAACATATGTTACATAACTTGTCATATCTTTTCTCTCCCATTCCTGGAAAAAAAATGTAAAAATTTTATTTAAGATCATTGTTGTTAATCATGAACAATAGTCTCTGATATTGCTTCAAATAGTAGTGTGCTTTACGTACTTTTTGTACGATATGCATACCGTGATAACAAAATATCCAAGAAAACACATGCTTAATGTACATCCTAAAATTTCCACCATAGATATTTCACGCAGCATTTTGTCCGTCAGCGTTATAAAACTGGAAGACAACCGATACGTTATCGCGTAGAAAATATTTTATACGAAAAGTATGTTTTCGTTAAGTGCTCCTAAACAATTAAAAATAAATTGAAGCGCTATTTAGAGATATATACATGTTGAATGCAAGAGAAGCACTAACAATGCCCGTCAAAAACTAACTTACTGTAAGATTCGAACGTGCTGCTGCACAATCATTGCCAATCTCTCATCCACATTATCGCAGAGGTCTTCCCGTCCATCCACTAGATGTTCGATCCATTGCATTAAGACTTCTAAGCGGCCGTAGGCATGCATCGCGAACACGGCTGCTAAACTGCATGCACCGGTAGTGATAGAGTGCACAATGAAACCCGACAAGCATTGTACAAAAAAAAAAATCTCACTGATAGGACTACGTCGCGCATCGACTATCATACTAGAAACAGGATACATTAGTGGCCGATACGTCAAGTTTCCGCCGTCTTCCGTGATCTTGCCGTTACTCAGAGGCAAAGCGAGATAATAGAAAGTAGCACCACCGTACATAAAAACTGCACAAATCGTCACAAGACGTCGACCGAATTTCGCACTCTTGATCATGATTATCCGATCATCAGAATATCGAGTATTAATCCAGTCATTTGCGATATGCTCGATACCATTACGGATGTCATTTTCGCGGAAGATCAATGAGGAATATTTTATGATGGCCATTAAGCAGAAATTCAGCGGCCCCGTGAGTTTCAAAATATTATAAGCATCATCCATTTCAAGCACTAAATAGATTGCGGAGGGTACAAAGAGGAAGCCGATTAGACTGATGCAAATGACATTCACTAGCATATACGCGTATCTCTCTATAAATGAAATCTTGATTGATTTCGGCCAGGCACCGAGCGGTTTCAATATCCAACGATTCAGCTGAATGCTTAGCCGCAGATCTTTTTTGTAATCGTTAACTCTCACTGGATTTGCTTTCTCCATTATAATGGTTTTATGCCTAGTTGAAGTGATGAAAGCTCGAAGATTACTGTAGAAGGTTACAATAGAATTGTGCAAGAACTCGTGTGTGGAAAGTCAAAATGCGACTGCGCTGTTGCGTGTAACTTTCTTTCTAGGAGAGGGATCAAGTAATAGAGTAATACAAGTGAAGGGTAAACTTTCTAGACGCAATTCTCAATTTCCGCAAAGGGGAATCAAGGTTTGCTCATGTGACACTGCACCTGTCTGTTCCTGAATTATGAACAGAAAGATTTACATACTTTGCAGAGATTTTTTCCGCAATTTATCGGAGCAGATCGCAAGCGCTTTTTTCTTGCATGAGATATTATATATATGCACGAATACGATTTTGCCTATAATGCTTATACATGAATATATATAGAAATACAATTTTATAGAAATACAAATATTATAGAAATACAAATATTATTGTAAAATATTTTTAACTAAAGAAAATACTTTATCTTAAGAAAAACAATTAGAAAAATTGTTTAATGTCAAATAAAATAGAATTAAGTTCAAATATATTATTTAAAATTTAAGTAACATATTTAAACATATTTTTATTTTATTTAATACGTTTGTATATAGGTATATATTTATATATATAATCATTGTAAAATATATTATGAAGACATTTTAAAAATATTTTGTTTTGTTGTTTTATATTGAAATATCTATTATTCATTAATATATCAAGTAATAAAGTATGTACCTGATAATACTGTACACATACATATACATAAAAGATATACATATTCAATCTTGAAATGCAGGATGCTTACGATGAACTTCCAGTATTTTGAAATAATAAGAAATAAAAACAAACAGTACATATTTCTAGATATTTTTAATGTAAAGAACAACTAAAAAATTGTTTGCAAAAATTTCCTAACTTCCACGCGAACACACCTTTAGTTTCTAGATCATTGGATTGAGCGAAGGGAATCTCGTTCCCCGATGATCTTCTTGACATTCATTTTCTTGGATTTCTTCTGGAAATTCTAAGATCCAAGACAGTTTACTTCATCAAGGTATTGATCGTAAATGTTTTGCGCAACTGAATTGTAGCCGCCATTGGAATTATCACTGATGATATATTTTAGCAAACATGATGTGAAGTGGAATACCTATATAATATCCTTTATACGACTAAAAGTGTTCATGTAAATGTTAGGTAATTTAAAAAAAAAAATCTTTTTGTTCTTTACAATAAAAAGAAATATGCATTCATGTTTATTTTTATTTTTTGTCATTTCAAAATATCAGAAGTTTCATATAAATCTTATAATACTAGATAATAAATAATATAAAATTATATATATTGACGTTTTATTTGAAGGATCATTAAAATGCGATAATTCAATATGTTCGAAATTTATTGCTATTGTAATTCATGAAAGATTTATGCCAATTAATAAGTAATTTTTTGCAATTTTATTCTGAGTATTTCTTATTGTATAATTTATATCGTATAATAATAATATATGAAATGTTAAGAAATTTTTCCGTGGAAAATATGCACAAAATATTATTCTCCTTTTCAGTAAATATTTAGTAAATTTTAATCAATTTTTTCTATTTTTAAAATTGCATTCATTTTCTTTTTTCTTCTCAAAACGTATCAAATAACTTGCATCAAATAATTGATTTTTTATTTGCAATAAATCATGTTATATATAATCATGTTAATAATTTTTACATTTCAGATAATCTTTATGCAGTTAATGTACGCAGCATGTTTAAATAAGCAACAGATGTCTTAACCACCTATTGGTTGGATAAATGATATATAAATCATATTTCTCGATAAATATTGATAGATATTGATATTGCGTTACTCACATCACCAAAAGTACTCAGAGATAATTCAAAGAGATTTCCAGCGGTAAGTTTAATCGATGAATTGGACATAGCGATTATCAATACGAGCGCAAGACCCTTTTTTTTTGATAGACGATGCCAATCGATCATATATGATACTTCGCCGATTTTCTTGCACTGTTTACAAATTATTTTTCAAGATTATTTTTCTATTTTTTTATATACGATATAAATACACAGAAAGAATTAATTTTGAATAAATTCTAAATTTTACAAATTTCATTATTATATTAAAATTATAATGCAGCAATTATAAAAATCAACCATAAAGGTGCACTTCACCATAAAGTTTGTCATTAAATTTATCATATATGCGCAGACAAATACTTTGATTATGAAGACTTTACCTTTTCGGCAACAAGTTCACCGATATAACAAAAAATAAAAATATTGAACGTAAGAGATATAAGCAGGACAATGTATGTTATGTAACTTGTAGTCTCTTTTGTTTCCCATTCCTGGAACGTGAAAATTTCTATATTCGACATATACACTGTACGTATATATTGTCGAGAATGTATATATTGTAAATCGTACACTTTGATCTTTGACATAGCGATGCGCTTTGATACTTCTTGTACAATATGCATACCGTAAGAGAATAATATCCAAGAAAACACATATTTAACGTACATCCTACAATTTCCACGATAGATATTTCACGCAATACTTTGTCGGTTAGCGATATAAAACTGGAAAAAATAATGTATATATTATTGCATAAAATATATCCAATCGATATCAAAAGTAACACAAAAGTAACATAACATAACACCAATATTATATAATTTTGCACTCTATCATTTATGTTATATTATATTACATTTATATTATTGAAATTAAAATTATAACATTGATATTATATTACCTTTAGATAGTATCGACTGGACAAACACATGAGACGCGATTTCGTAAATAATTAGAAATTAATTGGAGCGTTTTACATATGTGTGAAGAGCGCTTTAATTTATTTTTACTGACACTTTAATGAGAATTTTAAGAAACACCGACGATTCATGTCAGAGAGTAACTTACTGTAAGATTCGAATGTGCTGCTGTACAATCATTGCCAATCTCTCATCCACGTTATCGCAAAAATCTTCTCGACCGTCCACTAAATGTTCAAGCCATTGTATTAAGACTTCCAGACGGCCATAGGCATGCATCGCGAACACGGCGGCTAAACTGCATGCACCGGCAGTAATGGAGTGTGCTATGAAACCCGACAGGCACTGAATCCAAAAGAGAATCTCACTGATGGGACTATGTCGCGCGTCGAGGATCACACTGGCGACTGGATACACCAGAGGCCGATACGTCAGGTTTCCATCATTCTCCGTAATCTTACCTTTACTAAAAGGCAGAGCAAGATAGTAAAACACGGCACCGCCATACATGAAAAATGCGCAGATCGACACAAGGCGCCGACCGAACTTGGCGTTCCTGATCATGATGATCCGATCATTAGAATGCCGAGTGTTTATCCAGTCGCTTTCAATATGCCTAATACCACTGCGGATGTCATTTTCGCGGAAAATAAGCGAGGAGTATTTAATAACGGCCATTAGGCAAAAACTCAACGGACCGGAAAGTTTCAAAATGAGATATACATCATCCATTTCAAGTAACATGAAAATTGCGGAGGGTATGAAGAGGAAGCCTATTAGACTAGTGCAAATGACATTCACCAGTCCATATGCATATCTCTCCATACGTGAAATTTCGGTTAATTTCGGCCAGACACCGATCGGCTTCAGTATCCAACGATTCAGCTGGATGCTTAACTGCATATTTTTTTCGTTATCATGGACTGTTGCGATAGAATTTGTTCTTTCCATTATGGAAAGCTTCCTAATGCGATTGAAATGACGAGAGCTCGATGATAACTGAGAGGATTGCGCGAGAGATTTGAGCAAAGAAAGTCAAGCGTCGCGTCTGCGCCGTTCCGTACAATTTCTCTTATAGGAAAAGAACAGAACACAGAAGGGTAAACTTTACAGATTCTATTCTTTCCGTAAGGGGGATCAAGGATTCCTCATGTGATATTGCCTTTGTCTGTTCATGAATTAAGAATGGAAAAATTTATATTCTTCAGATTTTCCGCGGATAGATTTTCCGCGATTTATTGGAGAGAATCGCAACGGTTTTTCTCTTACGTAAGATATTATATGATATTAACGAGGATGAATATGATTTAGCATTTAATATACATATATTACATAATGCTTATACATAATCACATGGAATTAAAAATATTATAATATATATCTTAATGAACGAAATGCTTCGTTTTATTTTATGACGTGCTCTTAAGATTGTACACATTACTTTATTAATAAATAGATTATTCTAACATCATTTGAACGAAATTTTTCAAATATGTATATTTTTATGAAAACATATTAAGAAGAAAGAATTTTAGTTTATTTCTTTGTATTGAAGCATCGTTTATTTATTATGCATAATAAAATAAAGCTGCACGTATCTAATGATACTATTCAAATATGAAAAAATTTTCCAAATAATATCTTAATAAAATTGTGCAATAT